TATATATATATATATATATATATACATATATATATATATATATATATATATATATGTATGTATATATGTACATGATAATATATAAAAAATTAATAATATATAAAAATTGTATAATATATTGAAAAATACATTCAAATTAAATTAAATCCAGCAAATCTTCCTTCTAGGGCTCATCTCAATACGTCCAGATTAATTATCATTGTTTCCCTCATAGATAACCGATTGGCTTATTTTGTTTCTATATTTATAATTATTATAAATTGTCGAAACACTGTTGTCGAGCTGATCACGTTCATTTCGTCTTGACTATGATTCGTCATCATTTTGTAAGATTTAATTTTTTTTTTTTTCAGTTATTGAATGTTTAATATTGAATTTATTTGCTCGAGCCATATTTACAGATTCGTCATTTCCACTAAGTTGCATATTATGTTTACTGCCTGTCAATGCAAATATTGGATCGTTGTTGTTACGTATAAGGTCATGATTCTCCCGCGTGTGTGTAGATATATTTAAGTTACTGATCCTTTCCTGAGATAACAGTTCATTGTAATGTATGTTTTGTTTATTTATAGAAACATTCTTGTTTTCTTTTCTCCATAATAGAATAGAATTGAACCATTTGTTTAAGCTGTTCTTGATTTATACTTGTTTTTCCTTGAGAGATTAAAGAAGTAGCGAGTTTAGAAGCGAGCTCAGTTGTGTCTAGTCGATCCTGGTTTGTATATAACACATTAGCAGTTAACCTGCTAGGTGGCTTATTTTCAAGTAAATTCATATTGTGCTCTGTTTTGTTGGCTTCCAGTTCTAGCTGTAGTGTTGTTGAATGCTTTAGTAATTCTTCGGTAGCATTAATGGCCTTTCTTAAAGCGCGTTCTTGAGTTGGATCTAATATTTTTGAAAGTAGAAGACCCGTAAATTTTTCTTTTGCTGTTTCTAGGATAGCACAGTTTTCACTTGTAAGTAGTAATGTATTTGCCTTTGCTGGATTTAATTTACAAATTTGCAGTGCTTTAGCTAATAATTCTGTGATGCTAGGTCCCAAACTTCCCAAATGTCCCTCTAGTGCAGTTAGAAGGCGAAGTACGTGAATAATATTTACATTGCTCTTGCTTTTATTATATATTGTAACATCATCGCTTTTTATGGATTCATCACATTTCAATGGATTTTCGGGAGTCTGAACGTGGTATTTAGAGTTTAATAAGTCGTCGTTAGTCATTGGCAAACATAACCTTTCGCGGCATTTTGTTTTGATATTTTCGATATCCCGATTATACAGTTCCTCCAAGCGAGAGTTAAAAAATGGTATCCATTCATTTTGATAATTATACGATCTATGATTTATGCCAGTGGCTATAAGTTCATCTTTACGCCGCTTCCAGAAATTTTGCCACTCTTCCCTATACATAGGGTGCTCTTCGGGATCTGATATATATAAATCATATTTCGTATTTAAATCACGAACATTTTGGTCAACTAAATGTCTATAAGCTTGCCAAACATCATCATCTCTTAATGGGGACAAAGATTTACGTTCTACATTCCATTGCGATATAATAAAACGATTTGAACGTATTCGCTTTCGATCATATGAGTTAGATCTTGATCGACTACGTTTAAAAGTTCCAGACGATTGTTTGCTACAAGAACGTTGATTCTGTCTAGTCTCTCTTAAAAACATATCAACCATTCGTTTATGAGTTTCATCATCGATAGTCTCTACTCTATAATTTTCATTAAAAGGCTGGTGGGCATAATTAGCTTCGACATTTTGATTTATAATTTTATGATTATAGGGATTAAAAGTATTAAGTAGGTCGTCGTTATTAATGGTAGTAGTCTTTTCAGCAGGATATTTATAATTGCTGGAATTTTCAATCAACAATTCGACTTCTTTCAGGTCTACCACATGCGTAAACGCTGGTCCTAGCATTTCAGAGGCATGTTTTCGATTAAGGACTGTTGAAATAATATGTTGTTTATTTTTGGAAAACGAGTATTCATAACAAGGATAAATTGTCTCACGTCCATGATATTTCTCAATAGCCTTTGCCAATTTTTCTAATATTGAAGGCAGTATTTTAAAAATGTGGTGTTCAGGTATATGTGAAATGTATTGCCGATACTGCCGTAAGGCTGTCGGAAAATGTTTTTCACAATATGTTAAACGATGAGTATAGCTCTGTATATGATTATTCATTGTTTTCTCATCAGTCGTTATATTACATAAAGTACAATAATAGTTAGCAGTTCCATCATTAAGATTTTTCATTATTTTAATAACGTACTCTACTCCCAGAAGTCCAAAGATTTCAGTTATAGTTGAGTTCGAATGAGAAATAGAATCACAATTTTTTATCGGTACACATGTTGAGCTGTTTTGAGATTTTACTTTTCTTGTCCCAAGGTGTTGGGGAGTTATGTCTAACTCATCATTATTTTTGCTTTTATTGCGATTTGAAATTCTGATTGGTACTATAGATGTAGGAAACGAGTTGTCAGCCTCAGAATTTTCTATTAATTTTGATATAGGAACACATGAAATGTTTGATTTTCTTGTTGATGATGTCGGATTTCCCCCAATATCAGGCGGCAGACTCAATTTTTCTGAAATTGTTTCAACGTTGGTTGCATTAACAGCAGTATGGTTTACTTTGTTTTCGGATACGCATGTCGGTTCCTTAATAGTTTCAAAGTATTTTGATCTATTACTTTCACACTTTACTGAACTCTGTTGAACTAACTGCTTATTAATTTGATGTGAAAAAACAGATTTTCCAGTAATCCTTTCATTTTCATCAGATTTTCTATATTTATCTATATTAGATATTTTTACTTTTCGAATCAGTCTTTTATTAGAACCCAAATTAAAATTGGTTATTGTAGGTTCTTTATTTTTGAGATCAATATCAGTAGATAGAGCTTTATTTTTTTGCAGTTTAATAGAGTCTGATTGATACTGTGTTTCTCCTGCTTGTTCTTTATCTCTCGAACATTCAACCATGGCAGATGCTGGTAAATTTTTAACATTGTTATATTTATTTGTTGAAATATTATCCTCAGGGAATTTAGAAAGGAATAATTTCGTTACAGATTCCATTTTAGCTAAATGTTTCTTTCCATTAAGGTGACTAATTAAATTCATGTTTCCATATTGAACAACTTCGCAAACATTGCATAAATATTTTTTCTTCAATTCGTCTGTGCAAACAACTAGTCTTTCTAGCTTGTTTACATTTTTAGTCATAAATTCAATTTGAATCACTTCTTTTAAAGACAACGTTAATAATATTTTTGAAAATTCTGTTTTTTCAAACATTTTTTTACATTTTGTAGCCATTATGATTATGAAGCGGTTAACACAAAAGAAATTTAGTGTAAGATCTGCATATGGTCGACGATTTTTTTAATTAAATATTTATTTTATATATTTATTGTGATAAGTATTCGTAGCTATAAAATTAAAGGGAAAAAACCTGTATTGTAACATAAGACATATAATAAAAAATACACGTATATTAAAAATTTTGCATAGATGTGTTTGATTTATGGAATCTAACATGATTTGATTTATGGAAACAAGCAATTCTTCATTAAGTTAGGTTAGAGTAGGGTTTTCCACAGATTATTGAAGTGCTAATCGTACTTACTCACTAGAATTATCTGTTTACCATAGATACTACCCTGAAGCAAACTAATAAAATTTCAATTTCGATTTATTTAAAAATATAAGAGAAATACTCATTTAAATAAATATATAAAAATTTTGAAACAATGAATTCGAATCCGAGTCTTCTCAATCTAGCGCCACTCCGCTAATCACGCCGCCACTTCACTCTTCGAAAATTTAATGGCAAAACTGAAAAAGATTCACTGATGCAGCGCCATCTAGCAGAACTAAATGAAACTAACTTCTAATGTGATTCTAAGAATATGCTAGAAGTTTTAAAGTTTTAATGTATGTGTGCACACGTATAGGAAAACGGTTGTAGCTGCTGCACGTGCGTTTGTTAATTGGCCAATCATTTTGTTGTTTTTTAACGTCGATTGACTTAACCGATAATAAACAAATATCGATTTTTTAAAATAAACTCGACATCCGCGCAGTATATACGGTCATTTTAATAACAAAAATCAAGTCTCCACTCATCAAGTCTCTTATATCTTCTGAAATCGACGCGTTCAAGCATACGGACAGACGGACGGACGGATAGACAGGCGGACAGGGCAAAATCGACTCACCTCGTCGCCCTGATCAAGAATATATATACTTTCTTCTTTCTGATTTCCCATTTTTAATATGTTCAGGGTAAAAAAACAAATTAATGAATGCAATAGTATACTAGAACTCTGATCCTTGAAAGAAGTTGATCATTCTACGCTTGTTTTATGCAGTTTTCTCTATATTCAATACCGTTTTATACACCTTCACGAAAGTGAAATGATTATAGCGCAGTTGATTTCGGCACTGTTGAAGCTAGAGACTTGAAATTTGTAACACCTAACCGTGTAGATCTCCGGTTTATAGCGTTCATAGTGTTCCCGATCCGCTCACTAGGGGCATGGCAAATCGAAAAATGCATTTTCCGATATACCAGAAATCATATTAGTTGATGAGCTAGAAAATTGAAAACGTAGATCCGCATCGACCACCCAATATCACGGCTATGACGGATGTATTATATGTCTACGCCTACTAGAGGCATGGCAAGTCGGACCTGAAGATATAGTGATATTTTAAATTCTGCTATACTTTGGTATATAAGTTAAGCGCTCCCACACTAGAGTACTAGTGATTGGGGACGCTGTGTTAGGTT